GTCTCTATTTGGTCGCAAGACTTCGCCTGTGAAACGGGCCCGATGTCCTTTTTATCGCCAGGACCCGGGGTACCAGACAGGAGGCGGGGAGAGGCCATTGTATTTTCTTCAAAGGACATTTGTGTTATACAACTAGGTCCCCCAGTAGTGCCCTTTTACCCTTTTTGGGGGAGGGTTCCCCTACTAAAACATACCGTTTCTTTTTTGGTTGGGAGGGTTTTGCTACTAAAACAGACTACACCAAAAGTTGGTACGCTTTTTCTATCCTCTCTACTGGAGGACCTAGACAATAACCAAGAGACATCACGAAGGGATTCTTGAGGGTATTTGCATTTGTTTGAGGTGGTTGAGGGCCGTCATTTTCGAGGCTCGAGGGGGCCTGTGTTGGGCTGAGCAAAAGAAACGAAGAGAACCCACCATTTTTGTGAGGTCCCCTAAAAATAAATAAATATATAACTTCCGTTCATGATACGCGCCCCGTTCTTGGTGCACCCGGAGTCTCCATGACCCTTCAAAAATGGGTTGTGGGTAACGACTTTGAAGAAGGAGACTTCAGGTAGATTTGCAGAAACCGACCGCAATTCAACTTCTTCGGCTCGCAAAAATCAGTCGAACTTGTTGTTGTTTTGATGGGGTCTTTTGGATCAGGGCTACCTTTGGATTGTACCGTTAAGTTAACAAACTAAGAAAACATGTTTCTACCTGGTCCAAGAGACCAATCCAAAGCTACGCTTGGAGCTTGGGTTGGATTTCGGGTGGCTTGTGAGGTCCTTGAGGTCTAAACCACTGATATTTTTTCCGAGCGAGCTTTGTCACTGGGATGCTCAAACTGAATCTGCGGAGCCCACCCAAGTTGAATGGAGCTCAAGGTCCCCGGTAGAGGGACCCCTGGGCCCAAGCCACCAAAACAAGCATGGGGATGGTCTTTTTGGTTGCCAAGTACCGTTTGTGTCAGACCTTACCGCACCCCCCCTTCCCTTTAAGGGTAGGGCCATGTAGGGACCTTGCGGCGTGGATGCCACGGTATAGAGCCTTTTTGATATGTGTTTGTGAAAGATAATAAATGCACAACACGCAAGCAGCAAAACATGGACCCGCCAAACAAACGTGCAAATGGAAAATCAATGACAAACACAAGTGCCAATCCCGCCTGGGAAGGTTGGCGGAGCAGAAGGAATGAACAAACGCGCATCGTTGAAATTGCGAGACATTTCCTGGAGTATTCAAAGATTTGCCTTTCTTTTGTGTTTTGTTTTGCCTGCTTTGTTTCAAGCAATGCGAACAATACTCAAACACAGCGTAGATTGCTCAACAAAAACACACATGCAGTGTCGAGTAGTCGAAGATTTGTACGTTCCTGTCGCCTTTTTGCCGGAGGTTCCGAGGGAGGCCTCCGAGGGGCAAATGCCGCCAAGAAAACAGAACGTAAATGCCGAAGAGGCGGGAGCATAACCGGGTGCAAACCACCCGAAACGGAAGGTCCAACACACACAAAAGCAACATGGGGCGTAGGTTGCAAAATAAAATGGGCGGACAAAATCCAATGCCCGAAGGAGTTGTGTTTTCGTCTTGGTCATTTGCATGATGTTATTTTTGGGGTTCAATTTTGGGATGCAATTGTTTGGATTGTTGTGTGTTTTTTCAATACTGCTATTTTGCAGTTCGACTAATATGCCGCTGATATAAGGGGCCTATACTGCCTGATGGGGTTTGAGACACATCGCCAGAACCCCGATAGCTGGACCCTCAAACTACCCATGATAATTACAGTCGGAATCCACCAATCTCACAATTTGTCCCATGTTTAAGGCTTGGAAGGTTGGGGCGCAGGTTCCTGTCCTGGAGTCTCTCTGACCCTTAAAAAATGGGATCATTACCCAAAATACAGGGGTTCTGGACCCATTTTGATTCGGGCCACGGAGACTCCAGGTACACCAAAATTAAGGGGGGTGCGTGGCTCATTTTCCTGTCCAGACCCCGTTTTTTTTTTTTTTCCGCCAGGTGAGAGCACGCTGAGCTCGCCGGAGCTGCAAGGCGCGGAAAGGGAAACTTTGGGCCATGAGCCCATGTAAGAGGGAGAGCTGGGCTGACCACTTGGGCTTTGGGATCATCTCGAGGGGATCCGCGTACCTGAACCCTCTACCGGAAGGGAATCACCCACCATTGGGGCAATAATTGGTGGCTCCCAGCCACTCCCAGCCATCCGGTTCCTTAGCTTTTTAGCTTTTTAGTGTTTAGTGGTTGGTTTTTCATTTTCAAGTCCAGGAACATGCTGTTCAAGTGTGTTCAAAGCCTTAAACTAGGTTCCCCAGCTAGGTGCCCTTTTACCGTTTCTTTTTTTGTTGGGAGGGTTCCCCTACTAAAATAGACTACAGAAAAAAGTTGGTACCCTTATTCTAATCCTTCTACTGGAGGACGTGGTTCCATTTGCTGAAAGGAACATATTTCTCCCCCTTGTTTTTAAAGGGAACCGATTTCACTGCGTTTGGTTTCGGTTGAGTTTTTGATCTTTGGGTGTACAACCATGGTTATAACTGGCTAGGGTCGGTTAGTCCCCTTTACAACCAAAGTTAAACAAAAAACATGGGTATACCTGGACCCGGAAGAAGTTTCAACTTAAAAATGGATTGTAGCAACCAAGCGAATTTATGGTTGGTGCATTCCCTTTGTTATGGGTAGTTCTTTCGGTTCCAGGTGCGCTTATAGAAGTGCTGGGCTGTTCAGAGAGAGAAATTCGAGAAATTCTCACCAGGACCGGCTAAAGTTGTCCAGTTTGCCACTTGACTTGGTGTTTTTATAGGTCTTCTTTCCCTTCTCTCACCTTCAAGTTCTGAGCGCCAGACCTCGTGAGCGTTTTTTTCTTTGCGGATCAAAGGCCCAGATGTTTCGGGTCAAGAAGTTCCCGCGGCGAGTTTTCTCCATGCGAGTTGTGGGACGATGTTCTTGGAGCATCCCCGGGAGCAGCCCCAAGAAGCAGATGTCGGGAACATGACGGCCAATGCGGAAGCTTAGGGAACTTCCGCGTCGGATCTTGAAAGATTCAGGGGACTCTCCTCCTCGCTCCACATATTGTCCCGCCTTCTGCACAATGAATGTACATTTTTGGGCTAGACGAAATATGAAGCGCAGTGAGAACATGTTATTTCCCCACATCTTTGTGTGGGGTTCTTACTTTTTCCGCTCGTCGTCCGCGCGCCGCGTCTCCTCCTTCTCCCGCTCGTCTCCGTCTCACTCACTCACTCACTCACTCACTCACTCACTCACTCACTCACTCACTCACTCAACTCACACTCACTCACTCACACTCACTCACTCACACTCAGTCACTCACACTCACTCACACTCACTCACACTCACTCACTCACACTCAGTCACTCACACTCACTCACACTCACTCACTCACACTCACTCACACTCACTCACTCACTCACTCACGCTCACTCACACTCACTCACTCACACTCACTCTCATTCACTCACTCATTCACTCACTCACTCACTCACTCGCTCACTCACTCACTCACACTCGCTGACTCACGGCAGCTGTCTAGAGGGACAGGATGTTGTCGCGCGCGCGGCGGGGGGTGTGCGAAATCGTGGCAGGCGCAGCACTTTGGCGATGCCGTTGCGAAATCGTGGCAGGCGCAGCACTTTGGCGATGCCGTTGCCGAAGTCGTGGCAGGCGCAGCATTCTGTGCATCTGGGTGTGTGTGTTTGTGTGGCAGGGGTCGCATTCGGCAGCTGTCTAGAGGGACAGGATGTTGTCGCGCGCGCGGCGGGGGGCGTGCGAAATCGTGGCAGGCGCAGCACTTTGGCGATGCCGTTGCGAAATCGTGGCAGGCGCAGCACTTTGGCGATGCCGTTGCCGAAGTCGTGGCAGGCGCAGCATTCTGTGCATCTGGGTGTGTGTTTGTGTGGCAGGGGTCGCATTCGGCAGCTGTCTAGAGGGACAGGATGTTGTCGCGCGCGCGGCGGGGGGCGTGCGAAATCGTGGCAGGCGCAGCACTTTGGCGATGCCGTTGCGAAATCGTGGCAGGCGCAGCACTTTGGCGATGCCGTTGCCGAAGTCGTGGCAGGCGCAGCATTCTGTGCATCTGGGTGTGTGTTTGTGTGGCAGGGGTCGCATTCGGCAGCTGTCTAGAGGGACAGGATGTTGTCGCGCGCGCGGCGGGGGGCGTGCGAAATCGTGGCAGGCGCAGCACTTTGGCGATGCCGTTGCGAAATCGTGGCAGGCGCAGCACTTTGGCGATGCCGTTGCCGAAGTCGTGGCAGGCGCAGCATTCTGTGCATCTGGGTGTGTGTTTGTGTGGCAGGGGTCGCATTCGGCAGCTGTCTAGAGGGACAGGATGTTGTCGCGCGCGCGGCGGGGGGTGTGCGAAATCGTGGCAGGCGCAGCACTTTGGCGATGCCGTTGCGAAATCGTGGCAGGCGCAGCACTTTGGCGATGCCGTTGCCGAAGTCGTGGCAGGCGCAGCATTCTGTGCATCTGGGTGTGTGTTTGTGTGGCAGGGGTCGCATTCGGCAGCTGTCTAGAGGGACAGGATGTTGTCGCGCGCGCGGCGGGGGGTGTGCGAAATCGTGGCAGGCGCAGCACTTTGGCGATGCCGTTGCGAAATCGTGGCAGGCGCAGCACTTTGGCGATGCCGTTGCCGAAGTCGTGGCAGGCGCAGCATTCTGTGCATCTGGGTGTGTGTTTGTGTGGCAGGGGTCGCATTCGGCAGCTGTCTAGAGGGACAGGATGTTGTCGCGCGCGCGGCGTGGGGCGTGCGAAATCGTGGCAGGCGCAGCACTTTGGCGATGCCGTTGCGAAATCGTGGCAGGCGCAGCACTTTGGCGATGCAGTTGCCGAAGTCGTGGCAGGCGCAGCATTCTGTGCATCTGGGTGTGTGTTTGTGTGGCAGGGGTCGCATTCGGCAGCTGTCTAGAGGGACAGGATGTTGTCGCGCGCGCGGCGGGGGGCGTGCGAAATGGTGGCAGGCGCAGCACTTTGGCGATGCCGTTGCGAAATCGTGGCAGGCGCTGCACTTTGGCGATGCCGTTGCCGAAGTCGTGGCAGGCGCAGCATTCTGTGCATCTGGGTGTGTGTTTGTGTGGCAGGGGTCGCATTCGGCAGCTGTCTAGAGGGACAGGATGTTGTCGCGCGCGCGGCGGGGGGCGAGCGAAATCGTGGCAGGCGCAGCACTTTGGCGATGCCGTTGGGAAATCGTGGCAGGCGCAGCACTTTGGCGATGCCGTTGCCGAAGTCGTGGCAGGCGCAGCATTCTGTGCATCTGGGTGTGTGTTTGTGTGGCAGGGGTCGCATTCGGCAGCTGTCTAGAGGGACAGGGTGTTGTCGCGCGCGCGGCGGGGGGTGTGCGAAATCGTGGCAGGCGCAGCACTTTGGCGATGCCGTTGCGAAATCGTGGCAGGCGCAGCACTTTGGCGATGCCGTTGCCGAAGTCGTGGCAGGCGCAGCATTCTGTGCATCTGGGTGTGTGTTTGTGTGGCAGGGGTCGCATTCGGCAGCTGTCTAGAGGGACAGGATGTTGTCGCGCGCGCGGCGGGGGGTGTGCGAAATCGTGGCAGGGCAGCACTTTGGCGATGCCGTTGCGAAATCGTGGCAGGCGCAGCACTTTGCGGATGCTGTTGCCGAAGTCGTGGCAGGCGCAGCATTCTGTGCATCTGGGTGTGTGTTTGTGTGGCAGGGGTCGCATTCGGCAGCTGACTAGAGGGACAGGATGTTGTCGCGCGCGCGGCGGGGGGTGTGCGAAATCGTGGCAGGCGCAGCACTTTGGCGATGCCGTTGCGAAATCGTGGCAGGCGCAGCACTTTGGCGATGCCGTTGCCGAAGTCGTGGCAGGCGCAGCATTCTGTGCATCTGGGTGTGTGTTTGTGTGGCAGGGGTCGCATTCGGCAGCTGTCTAGAGGGACAGGATGTTGTCGCGCGCGCGGCGGGGGGTGTGCGAAATCGTGGCAGGCGCAGCACTTTGGCGATGCCGTTGCGAAATCGTGGCAGGCGCAGCACTTTGGCGATGCCGTTGCCGAAGTCGTGGCAGGCGCAGCATTCTGTGCATCTGGGTGTGTGTTTGTGTGGCAGGGGTCGCATTCGGCAGCTGTCTAGAGGGACAGGATGTTGTCGCGCGCGCGGCGGGGGGTGTGCGAAATCGTGGCAGGCGCAGCACTTTGGCGATGCCGTTGCAAATCGTGGCAGGCGCAGCACTTTGGCGATGCCGTTGCCGAAGTCGTGGCAGGCGCTGCATTCTGTGCATCTGGGTGCTCTGTAATCGCATCCATACAAGGGGCGCACGGTACATGTGTGTGGACATTTGAACTCACATCCTTGCGAAAAACATAGCATGTGGGGTTATCCGGTCCTTTAATTTTCTGTGACCGCCAGCGCGGCTGCGTTTCTTCGAAACCTCAAAAGTGGTTGGTGGACAGATTCACCCCCACGTGATGTCCATCAAAGGATCCCCCTAAACCCTCAAAGTTCCACTTAAGCACGTGTTATTGCAACCCAAGACCCTGGAATTAGTCACTTCCAGCTTTTTTGGGGGTATCGTAGGGGCGATTCCTTTCCCGCAGGTCAGTGGAACGCATGGGGAATTTGGGGACTCCCCACCCTGGTTGGGGGATCCCATGAAGCAAGCTCGTGTTTTTTCGAGCCTTCGAAACTCCGGGCGATTGCAACCCAAAACTGTCCAGGGCTCCAAAAAAATGAAAATCATTTTGCCTGCAACCATTTGAGACATCCAGGGCTTTTTCAACACCAAAACAAAGTTGGAAACCACCAGAAAGCAAGTTGCAATGTTCAGGTGTTGTCATGCATCCGGACCCCAAAGCTATCGAATTGGTGAACTCCAATTGTCGAGAGCCTCAAGCCCATGAGTTCCATGAGTTCAAGTTCCTGGACCCTCAAACTTCGCCAAAAAACCAGTTTGGGTTGCATTATCCTCCATGTTTAAATCGGAATTTTGAGGGTCCAGGTATCAGTAAGCGTACTAGTACCATGCTTTGGGGGTTTTCCTGTTTCGAGACAAACTCAATCCCTCCATTTGCTTGAGTCCCCAGGAAAACATGAGAAAGTATGTCCACTAGTGATAGATTCCAACTACAAAACCAACAGGGGAAACTACAACATATTCTGAACTGCAAATGGAACTCTTGGGGCAGTAGCCCATTTTCACATTGGAAAAGTTTGGCGACGGAGAAACTCGTTCGAAACAACAAAAAACAGTAGTGAAATCAATTCAATTGAAAACCAACAAGGGAAAATCAGAATCTTCCCTTCAGCAAATGGAACCAGGGGGGTCTTTTTGCCACCTTTTCTGAGAAATTGGCGACCCCCTCAAAATCCTTCACTACAAGGGGGTGGATCATTTTTCCGCCGAAGGTGGCAAGAAGACCCCCTTGAATGGAAGAACACGGGGCCAAACTCGTGGGAGTCTCCGCGGATTTGGCGCTGAGGCACTTGGTACCGCCGGGTGGGGGGCGCTGAGGTTGGGCAGGTGTCCAGGGGCTGGCGCCTCGGCAAGAAGCCAAGGGTTTTGGTTCCTCGCTGTGTTGCGTCAGGTAGCTCAGTCTGTTTCTTCTGTTTTGCTTTTTGCTTCTTGGGGAGGGGCTACCTGGACCCGCACGAAGGATTTGTTCGGGTGGTCTTTTTTTCTTGGGCGTTCGATTCGCCAAGCTACGGCGGATGCCCTAACGTATGGTTGGTTTACTTGCAATATTTATGTTAAAACCCTCTAGGCCCCGTGCCGAAATTGGGTAGCTGTTCTGAGGTCCTTGTTGGTGTTGCTTCCCAAGTTCCATTGATCGCCATTTGGCTCAAGACACAATTGAGGTTCAAGATCTGATGTGTGACTGCATACATACGTGATCGGCATTGAGAGCGAAAACACTTTGCTTGCGCTGCATTTGTCAGGACCACTGTTGTAACTATCATTCCTTCTCCCTTACAACGTTTACACGGGTTCGGCTATAACGGCATCGTCCGTATACACCTTTCTACGTGGTTGGTATTACAGCTTGAGGGTTCGGTGCATAGCGTCCCACGGGACGTCACCTTGCCGTCTCTTGACAGGTTATCAGCCGTAACTACAAGCTCTACACTGGACTGGGAGACAGCTGGTTTATTGCGGGTACAGGGACAATAAAGGAACGATAACCTACACAGTACAATGGCGTCTTCGGCGAGCCCAAGTACTGCAACTTTTGGGAACAGCAGCTCAGAGGGATCCAATGGATTGATGGCTCTTCCTGCGGTGATGGATATGGTTGCAGATTCACAGGATGAACCTGGGAGCGGAGGTTCCGCGCTATTCAGCGACATATCTACTCCCACAAGATCATGGAAGCAGATCGATGTTCATCAGGAGTCGAAGAAAAGAGAATCCCCACCGAGAAGATCATCATCTTCGCCTGCGACACCACGGACGTCGCAGAAGGGCGTGAGATCGACATCGAAGGGTGGGAGGTCAAAATCACCCACCAGTGCAGATTTTCGCGCCGTGATCAAAGAGAAGAATAAGATGGAGGTGGAGATCGGGGAATATCAAAAGACACTTGATGAAATGTCGGCAGCAATGGCGAATCTTAACCAAGAAGACTATGGAAGCACCATCCGGATCCAGGAGCTGGAAAGACGATGCGAGATTGCCAGCAAGCAGTCGGGACATCTAGTGAGTCACCACCAACACCACATGGCTGAGGCATGGCGCAAGTTTGAGGAAGAAGCCCAACAGATGCGCAAGGTGGAAATGAACGCATTTCAGTACGGGGAGAAGAAAGACATGGAGTCGAATATTATAATGCAACAGATGAGGCAAGCTGAAGGAACTATCATGGAGCAGAAGCGGGAGATTGCATTGATGAAATCCTACATGGCAAGCGAGAAGTCGGCCGCGCAGGAATCAGCTATACGTGCAAATCAGATACACCGTGAGGCTTCACAACAGATATCAGTTTATCAGCAACAGATCAGAGGCATAGAATCTTCTACATCTATCGAGAAGTTCAACGAGGAGGAGATGGTCCAAAGTCTGAAATCACAGTTGGAGCATGCACTCGTCAAGCGCCCCGAGACGTACTCTTTGGAGGACTCCAGGGAACAGCTGATGGCGAGGCTGAATGACGTTACAGTATTTGCGGAACAGGAATCGAAGAGAGCAGATTGCTTGCTTCGCGAAAAAGAAGAGATCGTCAAACAGTATGAGTCCGACGTGTCGATGAAGGACCAGATGATTGCTGTCGAAGGTGGTCATCGTCAGGATGCGATCTTGGAGTTAGCCCAGGTCAAAGAAGAGAAACAAGAGGAACGGTGCACGATGGACGAGAAGTCGAAGGAGGCTGAGTACTGGAGATTGACAGCTAAGGGAATGTACGATGAGTACCTCGAGGAGATGCATGAGCTTCAGAGACAACTGAAGGAAAGAGAGGCGACGCTCAAGCAAGAAGAGAGTTTTGTACGCCAACTCGATGCTGACAACGAGGAACTACGTGCACACAAGAAGCTGGAGACACAGGAAGCCTCCAGCAGCAAAGATGGACATCGTGAACGAGCAGTAGTGAAACGCGCTGAGGGAGGAACCCAGGCTAATTCAAATAGGATAGACAAGAAGGTGGCTGGGTCAGTCCCGTCATCGTCTTCAAATCAAATCCCTAATTCGTCGCTGATGCCAGGTTCGATCCTCTTTCCGTCTTTCGGTGATCCAATGATCGATGTACACCTATCCCAGATGCAAGGGGTTGTTGGGCATGTCCCACAATCCACTACTACGACTGGTGGTGGTGATGGGGGGGGAAACAACGGTACTACGCCCCCATTGGATTACGGTGGATTCCCGCCCAATGGGAATGGGCAGGGAGCGGGTCGACGTCAGTTGAGCCTCGCTGGTGGCGGAGGAGGACCTCCGGATGATCCACCCGATGATGAGGATGAGGATGACGACGACGAAGGAGATGAGGAAGACGAGGAAGAAGAAGAGGAAGAAGACGATCGGACACGGAGGAGACGAAGGAGATCGAGAGATAACCGAGAGATCAGAATGATCGACCGAGAATCTCGAGGAAAGAGGCCGAGAGAGTATCTATTCCGGCCTGGCCAAAGATCCATCAACTTGACACCTGGAAGATGCAACTGCTGATGAATGTTCTGAGCGCATGTGCAGATCCAGATACCGACGCATGGACGAAATGGCTGGAGCAGGCTCTTGGGTTGAACCCAGACCTGGATTTGCTTAGCGATTCAGGTGGCGACAGATTTGCTACGATAGATATTAAGATGGCCATGGGCATGCAGAACATGCTGAAACAAGCACCTGACGAAGCCAAGGACGTATACCTCGATGCTACACGACACTCTGAACTACGACATCAACAAGGGGTGATCGTGAAGGGACGAGAGTTGGTGGCATTAGTTATGCAATCATTCAGAACTTCCGATAGAACGGATCTTGTCTACCACATCGAGCATCTATTCAACCTTGACTTTCCTGGCGACAAGAACTTGGTCATGTTCAGGAACAAATGGTATGATTTGCTGCTGAAGATGAGGAGCGAGGACAGACCCAGTAAGCTGGCTCTCAGAGACATCCTTTACAGGAAGATCAAAGGGAGCAAGAAGATGGAGTTCGGCCTCAATGCCTACCATAGACTACCGGACAAGCATCCTCAGAAGACGTATGAATTCTTATTGGCGTTGATCGACTATCAGATCAAGGCAGATCGGGAAGACCTGATGCTCGACATGAAGGAGAAATCGGTCAAGTCGATGATGAAGTCAGGCGGGAAGGATGCGGCTCCAGCAACTGGCAAACAGGAGAACCAGGGTGGCAAGGGCAGAAAGGGGAAACCCGGTGGACCTGATGCCGCTCCTGTGCTCCCAAAAGCCAAGGCAAAGGGCCACGCTGGCAAGAACGGCAAGTCCGACGGTGCCAGCGACAGAGGCAAGAGTCCGGGCGGAAGCAAGGATAACCCCTGCTGGTACCACTTCAAATCGGCGAAGGGGTGCGTGAAAGGAAATGAATGCACTTTTTCCCACAGCAAGAAGACGGAGCATAAGTTGGAGAGCATGTCCAAGGGGAAAGGAAAGGGCAAATCCAAGTCCAGATCATCGTCACCAAAGAGAGATGATGGAGCATGCTTCGCGTTTCAGAAGGGGAAGTGCGATAAGGGAAGCGCTTGCAAGTATAGGCATGAGCTCATCAAGAACAATTCAGCTCCAGCAACGTCAAATGACAAGGCGCAAGCCAAGTCGAAGGCTGCCGCCAAAGCCGCAGCGCCAGCCATTGCAAGGAGGGCCATCGCAATGCCCGCGATAGTCCTGAAGCAATCGGCTCCTGCAGGGAAGGTAAGCTTCAAGAAGGACGTTGATCAGGTCGAACCGGATGAAGCCGAGACTGTCTACCACGAGCACGATGACGACGCGATGAGCGAATCATCGAGATGGTCTGGCGAGTCCGAGATCCCCGAGAAAATGGTGTGGTTCAAGGAAGTGCTCGACGTCGACGAGAATGGGGAGATCACCTACCTCGAAGACGAGAGAAGGCAATGGGAACGAAAAGGGGAATGGTACGGTTATGAGGACAATGAGAATGAGCCTTATCAGTACGTGTACGTCGACGAGAAGAAGTTCAAAAGCAGTGATCATCGTGAATTGTCAGCCTATCAAGTCCAACGATCATTGATACGTGCGAAGATACTGAGAGAAGTAGTGGATGATGTATATAAGAAGCACTACTTCCCGGTGACCAAGGAGAGCAGCATAATGTTCGAGTATGATCGGAACAAGGACGAGATCAAGGAATCGGCTGTCGACTGGAAGAAGCAGCATGGTATGCCGAAGAACGTTTTCGCCATGTCAACGTGCATCAGCAAACGGGTGAAATGGTTGATGGACACCGGATGTGGTCATGATCTCATTGGAAGAGCCAAGGCGAAGAGCCTGGGTGTCGACATCGTGAAAGATGACGACGAGATCGTGTTCCAGACCGCGAATGGTTCCACTTCCACATCTGATGTGGCCAAGATAGTCGTGGACGAGTTGGACGAGACTGTCGAGCCGCATGTATTGGATGAGACACCCACGGTATTGTCAGTGGGGAGGAGATGCATGAAGATGGGTTATGCATTTCACTGGATGCCTGGTAAACTACCTTTCATGGTTACGCCAAAGCAGGGATTCGTGCACTTGCAGGTCAAGGACGACATCCCGTACCTAGTGAGTGATGGTAAGCTTCGGAGTAACAGGCATCGCCCTACGATAGACGACCTCAAGGAGCACTTTTCGGAAGTATTGGCGATGGTAACGAACGACGAGGCAGATCAGGGAGGTGACGATGAGAACGACGTCACACCCGCCGCTGTCGGTGAGTCCGCAGAGGCCGAGGGCGAACACCACGACGGGGCATTCGACTTCGGGCCACCCGGAGGAGCCGGTCCGGTACGTCCGCCTCCCGTGGCTGAGGAAATACCTGTAGATGTTGGGTCAGTCCCGCATCGACATGGTGATGCCGAAGCTCA